GAGACCAGTCTGGGCAATATGGTGCAACCCTGCCCCCACCTCTATTCAAAAAGCAAAAGAAAAGTAAAATAAAGCAGAACTCCTCATTTTCCTCCTCCAACCAGCTTTGTTTTCCCCTTTTGAGTCTTTTCATTGTGGCAAAATATATATAACAAAAAATTTACCACATTAACTTTTCTTTTTTTTCTGAGATGGTTTTGCTCTTGTCGTCCAGGCTGGAGTGCAATGGTGCAATCTTGGCTCACTGCAACCACTGCTTCCTGGGTTCAAGTGATTTTCCTGCCTCAGCCTCCCAAGTAGCTGGGATTACAGGCATGCGCCACCACACCCGTCTAATTTTGTATTTTTAGTAGAGACGGGGTTTCTCCATGTTGGTTAGGCTGGTCTCAAACTCCCGACCTCAGGTGATCCACCTGCCTTGGCCTCCCAAAGTGCCACCATGCCTCTGGCTAATTTTTTCATTTTTATTTACTTGTTTTTTTAAAAGACAGGGTCTTGTTCTGTCATCCAAGCTGGAGTGCAGTGGCGTGACCTTGGCGCATTGCAGCCTCAGCTCAAGTGATCCTCTTGCCTCTGCCTCCTGAATAGCTGGGACTATAGGTGCGCACCACCAGACCTGGCTATTTTTTTTTTTTTTTTTTAATTATTTTGTTGCAAAAGGGTCTCACTGGCCTAGGCTGGTCTTAAATTTCTGGCCCCAACTGATCCTCCCACCTTGGCCTCCCAAAGTGCTGGAATTATAGACATGAGCTACCGTGCCTGGCCTTAATTTTCTTATTTTTTAATAGAGATGAGGTCTTGCTATGTTGCTTAGGCTGGTCTCAAATCCTGGCCTCAAGCAGTCCTCTCATCTCTGCCTCCCAAAGTGCTGGGATAATAGGTACGAGCCACCGCACCAGACCCCCAGATTTTGATAGGATGAGGAAGGACAGGATCCAAGGATACTAGACATCTGGTAGAATGAGATGGCATCAACGCCAAGGCAGGGAATGAATGCATGACAGGGAGACCAGGAGGTACAGAGAAAAGCTGCTGGTGCACAACCTTGCTGGGGCAGGCAGGACCATGGGAAAGGCTCTTCTGCCCTCAGCTCATGCTCTGTGTCTGAGATGGGTCCATACCAGCAGTGCTACCCACGTCCTGAATCTTTGCATTCTCAGGATCCTGTAGCCACCATGGGACAAGTGGGTCCGAGTGTCCTACACACAGGCAAGAGGTGGGCTGCCCTGGGTGTTCCTGATTGGTTGCCGAGGACATCACTGATGACAAAAGTCTTGAATCCCACTACCATCTGGCCTGCATTTTAAGAGTGAGGTGGCGTGTGCTCTATAGTAATGCAAATATCGTGAGCATTCGGTATGCCAAACCTTCCCCATATTCATTATTGTATTTTGGTAAGGTATTCTCACTTGCTTCTGTGGAGTGTTGCCCCCGTTATTATATGTATCTCAAAACCTATTATAATCCTGGAGCAGTGCGTCTGTTTGTTTTGCATTGCTATAAAGGAATACCTGAGACTGGGTGACTGTTAAAAGAGGTTTATTTGGCTCATGGTTCTGCAGACTGTATAAGCATGGCACCAGCCTCTGCAGGGCTTCTGGTGAGGCCTCAGGAAGCCTCTACTCATGACAGAAAGTGAACAGGGAGCAGGCACGTTACATGGTGAGAGAGGGAGCAAGAGAGGTGTGAGGCTCCTTTAAACCAGCTGTTGCATGAACTGGTAGAGTGAGAACTCACTCATTCCTGCAGGGAGAGCACCAAGCCCTTCATGAGGGATCTGCCCCCATGACCAAAATACCTCCCATAAGGCTCCACCCCCGACACTGGGGATCACAGTTCAACTTGAGACTTGGAGGGGACAAATAACCAAACCATATTAAACAAGAAACCCCAATTTTCTTCCAAAGGATTCAGAATGATTCCATCATACTAGTTTATTTTTAAATATTGGAAATACACTCTCATGGGTTTGGAGTTCAGAAAGCTACTATTACAGCGTCAGCTCCCTTCTGCCTTCCTACCGAGATACTGACAATCACCTCTTACCCAGCAAAGCAGGGTGGGAGGATGAACTAGTTGCTAGGCAACTATGATTAAAAGAAGGAAGCTATTATGGTTTATAGAGACTGGAACATAATCTTTAGGTGGCTGTAAAATTCTGATTGTCAATAGTGTAAACAATAAAAATAGTTGCAAAAAGAAAAAATCTTAGCAGAGATAATTAACTCAAAACCACGGATAGCTGTAAGATTATAGGATAGCTGTAAGATTATAAGATAGCTGAGTACAACTGTTTTTGGCATGTGCTTTGTGAACTGAATGCAGTAGTTGGAACTCTAAGACTGAAGAGCACTGAGGTCAGAAATAAGTTATCTCTCCTCTTTCCTCCTCCTTTTTCCTCCCTCCGCCATCCTCCCTCCACAATCCCCTATCTCCCATCTTCCCTGCACATTCTCCATTCTTCCTTTCCACCCCTGGCTCCTCTGTCTGGCCTCCTCCCTCCACATCCTACTTCCTCTGCTTTTCCTCTCCTACCTCACCTCTCCCTCCACCTTCTCCATCCCCCATTCTTCACCTTCCCTTTTCCATCCTTCTGTCCCCGCTTCCTCCTCCTCTCCACTTTTCTTAAGCCTTCAGCTTTCGGCCTCCATCCATCATGCCCATTAAGTGATCTTCTTCACAGTCATCTGTTTTTTTTGAGATGGAGTCTTGCTCTTGTCACCCAGGCTGGAAGGCAGTGGCGTGATCCTGGTTCACTGCAACCTCCACCTCCCATGTTCAAGTGATTCTCCTGCCCCAGCCTCCCGAGCAGCTGGGATTACAGGTGCATGCCATCACACCTGGCTAAATTTTTTGTATTTTTAGTAGAGATGGGGTTTTACCATGTTGGCCAGGCTGGTCTTGAACCCCTGACCTCAGGTGATCTACCTGTCTTGGCCTCCCAAAGTGCTGGGATCACAGGCGTGAACCACCGCGTCCGGCCCTCCACAGTCATCTCTTGAGCAAGGCCCAGAGCTACTGGCAGTAGACCCTGCCTTTGGTCTGGTCACAATCTTACAATCTGGTTAATGAAATGAGCATCACATATGAAGGAATAAATAACAGAGCCCAGATGCTTAGAACCAGGTGGGATATAGGTGTGTGTGTGTGATCAGAGCAGAAGGGACTGAGCCATGGCAGTCTGAGCCTCTTCCAGGGATAAATGGGACATAAACAACACTAAAAGGAGAGTGAGCCTGCCAGGCGTGGTGGCTCATGCCTGTAGTCTAAGCACTTTGGGAAGCCAAGGCAGGTGGATCACCTGAAGTCAGGAGTTCAACACCAGCCTGGGCAACATGGTAAAACCCCGTCTCTACTAAAATTACAAAAATTAGCTGGGCAATGTTGTGCACACCTGTAGTCCCAGCTACTCAGGAAACCGAAGCACAAGAATCGCTTGAACTTGGGAGGCGGAGGTTGCAGTGAGCCAAGATCATGCCACTGCACTCCAGCCCAGGTGACAGAGTGAGACTCCTCAAAGAAAAAAAAAAGGAAAAAAGCCTTTGGGGAGGGGAGAGGGCACTGCAGGCCCCAGGAGATGTGCACTGAGACCAGATGCGGGAATGTGCAACGGGCCTTGGTCAGATTGGGAAGAGTAGTGGAAGCATAAGGGGAGGTGGGGATGGTTAATGTGTGCCAGAAAAAACAGAATAAGACTTACTATTTGATAGCAAAACAGTGAGTATAGTTAATGATTGTACATTTTAGAATAACTTGAGGTACATAATTGGGTTGTTTGTAACTTGAAGGATAGATGCTTGAGGGGATGGGTACCCCATTTTCCATGATGTGCTTATTTCATGAGCTGTATCGAAACAGCTCATGTACCCCATAAATAGACATACCTACTATGTGCCCCACAAAAATTAAAAATTAACCATTGGAGCAAAAGGCCTCTAACTTACCTTCAAACTCTAACTTTCTGTGATAACAAAATCTGGGGCACCCAAGGACCACATTCCCGGTGTCTCTAGAAAGAGCCTGTAATCCCAGGTCTCTTAGAAAAGAGCTGTTGGTTTTCAATGGCGTGCCCTCATCTGAAGCATTCCTAGCTTCTTTACATAACAATCGATTACTGTGCCATCAGGTAACTCTTCCTTGTTTTTTTTTTTTTTTTTTTTTTTTTTTCTCTTTTTTTGAGATGGAGTTTCACTCTTGTTGCCCAGGCTGGAGTGCAATGGCGTGATCTCGGCTCTCTGCTACCTCCGCCTCCTGGGTTCAAGCGATTCTCCTGCCTCAGCCTCCCAAGTAGCTGGGATTACAAGCGTGCTCCACCACGCCCGGCTAATTTTTGTCTTTTTAGTAGAGACGGGCTTTCACCATGTTGGTCAGGCTAGTATTGAGCTCCCGACCTCAGGTGATCCACCTGCCTTGGCCTCCCAAAGTGCTAGGATTACAGGCGTGAGCCACCACACCCAGCCCATTCTTACTTGTTTTTGTCCAAAGGTATTGAATAGGTACTATGGACAAGAACTTTTGCTAACTACATGCCTTAGAGACAGAAAAAGAAATTAGGCATTCTGTCCTTTTTCAACTTGATGCCGTTGTTTTCTTAACAAGTCTCATATTCTTTTTTTAATATAAGAGTTTTCGTTTTAATGCTAATTTTAGAAGAATCTCTCATCAGTTTCACAGTTACTTTGCATGTGTCCTCCTACCCTCCCCACCCCCGCACCAGTGCTGGTGAGCAGAGGAAGAGCAAAAGGTTAGGATCTTAAATTCAGTGAGCTTTGGTAATTGTCAGTGATAAGAAAAAGCCAAAAGACAGATCTGGCTGAGACAGATGTGTTTAAAGCAATTAACTCTGGGTTTGTGTCAGCTGTACTCATAGGAGCTGAGTGCTTATCCCAGGCCACCATGCTCCAATATGATTCTCATCTTCTAGGATAGAAAATAGTGGAAACCTTCATTCATCCTTAACCTGCTGAGTATATTCTGTCTCCCTCTTTTCATTACCCCAGGAAAAAAGAGGAAGATTTGCAGACCTATTGGATGCTAAATATCTACGGACCACGTTACAGATCTGGGTCATATGGTAAGAGTGTAATTATTTCAAAACTAGTTTTAAATAGAGGCATTGGGAGGAAGCCTATTTAAGTAAATCTACGTGAGTGCCACTGGGGAGAAAAACATAAGACCAACTCCAAATATTACAAAGACAAGCAATGTCTTGTCATTCTACAAACACCACTACCACTAAATAAGTAAATAGATACATAGACAGATAGAGGAAAAATCCCTAATTGTCTTCAACCAATTTAAAAATTTTTCTTACGAGCATATGAGCTCACTTCCTAAGTTTTGCAGCCTGGTCTTTTTCCTCACCACATGACAGAAACTTGTCCTTTGAAGTCACCAATCATCAAGTCCAATGGCACAGACTCTTGTGGTACCCTCTGTGTTTCATTTCTCTGCAGCATGACCTTGAGTAAGCAAAGATTTTCTAAACAGTATGAAAACATGCAGACCATAAAGGAAAAGATTGATGAGTTTTAATACATTAAATTAGGAACTTAGGAACCATGTCAAGATATCATGAAGAAGGCTGGGTGTGGTAGCTCACTCCTGTAATCCCAGCACTTTGGGAGACTGAGACAGGCAGATCACCTGAGGTCAGGAGTTCGAGACCAGCCTGGCCAACATGGAGAAACCCTGTTTCCACTAAAAATGCAAAAAAATTAGCTAGGTGTGGTGGTGGGTGCCTGTAATCCCAGCTGTTTGGGAGGCCGAGGCAAGAGAATCGCTTGAACCCAGGAGGTGGAAGTAGCAGTGAGCCAAGATTGAGCCACTGCACTCAAGCCTGGGTGACAGAATGAAACTTTGCCTCAAAAAAAAAAAAAAAAACATGAAGAGCCTGAAAGGTAAGCCATCCATGGGAAGAAGAAATTTGCAATGTATATTTCCAGCAAATTATATATATATACACACACACACGCACGCGCGCGCACACACACACACACACACATTCATATATATAAAATATGCTATATATTAGACATATAATTTTTTTAACAGGAAAAAATAGACAACTCAGTTTAAGTTTTTAAAAATTTTTTAAGTTTTAAAATTTATTTTATTTTGCTTTTGTAGAATGGGTCTTGCTTTGTTGCCCAGGCTGGTCTGAAACTCCTGGCCTCAAGCAGTCTTCCTGCCTTAACCTCCCAAAGTGCTGGGATGACAGGCATGAGCCACCATGCCCGGCCAACAGCCCAATTTAGAGATAGGCAAGAGACTTGAACAGGCACTTCACCAAAAACGTATACCAGATAAACACATCAAAACATGCTCAACCTTAAAGTCGCCAGGGAAATGCAAATTAAAACCCAACAAGATACCATTACAAATCCGCCAGTCCAAGAGAATGGCTAAAATGAAAAACTGACAATACCAAGGGTTGAGAAGGAGGCAAAGTAACTGGAATTTTCTTTCTTTTTTTTTTTTTTTTTTTTTTTTTGAGATGAAGTCTCGCTGTTTCCCAGGTTGGAGTGCAGTGGCGCAATCTCGGCTCACTGCAAACTCCGCCTCCTGGGTTGTATTTTTAGCAGAGACAGGGTTTCACTGTGTTAGCCAGGATGGTCTCGATCTCCTGACCTCGTGATCCACCCACCTCAGCCTCCCAAAGTGCTGAGATTACAGGTGTGAGCCACTGCACCCGGCTGTAACTGGAATTTTCATACACAGCTGACTGGAGTTCAAATTAGTACAGCCACTTTGAAAAACTGGAGGTCTCTATTACAGCTGGAAGTATGTGTATACTATGGCCCAGCAATTCCGCTCCTAGGTTTACACCCAACAGGCATGTGTACATCTGTATGATGTGTAAGAGATACTTTCACAGATGCTCTGTGTAGCATCTGAACCTGACTTTCTGCTCTCTTTGCTTTCCACATGCTGCACGTTCCACTTGGTATCCCCTCCCCACTCATCCTTCAGGTCTGGTCTCAGCGTTTGCTAGTGACATTCTTTTCTCACTTCCAGGCTCGGAATCTCTTTTGCCTACTATGGGGTTATCCTGGCCAGTGCTGAGCTGCTGGAGCGGGACCTGGTCTGTGGTTCGAAGGCAGACTCTGAGGTGGTGGTGACTGGGGGCAACTCAGGGGAGAGCCAGAGCCCCTGCTACTGCCACATGTTTGCACCCTCTGACTATCGGACCATGATCATCAGCACCATCGGTGAAATTGCTCGTAAGTGTCCCTCTGCATGTCGGGTCTCTGTCTTGGGTGGTGTATGTGCACTTGAGTCTTAGCTGAGAGAAGTGTGATGCTGTGATGCTGTGATGCTGCTCCTGCCTAGCAGAACTGAGTAAGTCACAAAGTAGTGCTGAAAAATCTCCAATTTGGATTGGTGTTGGCAAGAGAAGTCTGGAGGAGTAGAGCTTTGAAGTGCTGTATTCTATCAATTGTAAGGTGGTTTTTTTGCCCTTACATTTTAACGTATCTGAAATTGGAATGTGGCTTACAATGGCTTGTTAGATTGCAATTGACAGCATTATTTCTATTTTAGTAGACATAAAATGACGGTACTTAAAAATCAATGGCTGAATGTTAAATTGAGCCGATGAAAAAAAATCAAAGGCACCTTGAATTTGATGAAAACATATAAAACACTTAAAATATAGGCCTGGCAAGCTGGCAATCTACAATAGACCTGCATGATATAATAAATATCCTGGGCACCAGTGCTTATAATTCCTGGACCCACGTGGGTAAAGTATATGTAAAAAGTCTTGAAATTGATGACAACGTGACTGGATTTTGGCTGAAATACTCATGAGGTTTGGATGATGTTGCTTCTTTCTGAAACGACAAGAATGAATCCATGCCAGTGTTGCAATATGCCACTTGCCTTCCAAGGTTCCAGAAATTATCTTTACTGTTTGCTTTCTAGTGAATCCTTTAAATATCCTGGGCATCAATTTCCTGGGAAGACGGCTGAGCCTTTCCATTACCATGGGATGCACGGCTTTATTCTTCCTTCTCCTCAACATTTGCACTTCAAGGTATTTTCTGGTTAGTTGCTTCAGGTTTTTTGCAGTGGTTTCTAAATGGAGTCTCCTGACCCATGGTGTTCAGTAGTTTCACGGACAAGTCCCTTTCACCCAGGAGAGTGGAGAGTGGGCTGCTTGTTTGACTAGAATGGTCTTGCCTGTTCCCTACTACCCCCTTCCCTCTTCCTACAGACCCCATCTTCCTCCAGCTATCACAGGATTATGGGTGGCAATGATGGTGTACTCACTTTACCTACCAAAACATTGAGGATCGTTATGTAATTCTTCCTGGAGAATCGGGGCTCTGGTTGTTTATCACATTATTTGAACCAGTGCCAAGAAAGTTTAGTAATACAAACAGTGTGCTTATTTGAGCCTTCTGCTCATTTCACTCTTAATTTGCAGTGCTGGAGTGACCTGAGCTCTGATATGTATCATTTATTCTACAAGTTCTCTGCACTGTTTTCCAGGGGATGGTAGCAGCAGGTGTGCTAATTTTTTTTTTTTATTCTTTGAAACAGAGTCTCTCACCTTGTCACCCAGGCTGGAATGCAGTAATGCGATCTCTGCTCACTGCAGCCTCTAACTCCTGCGCTCAAGCCATCCTCCTGCCTCAGCCTCTTGTGTAGCTAGGATTACAGGCACACACCACCATGCTGGGTCAATTGAAAAAAAAATTTGGTGGCTCATACCAGTAATCCCAGAACTTTGGGAGACTGAGGCGGGTAGATCACTTGAGCCCAGGAGTTCAAGATCAGCTTGGACAACGTGGCAAAACCCCATCTCTACAAAAAATACAAAAATTAGCCGAGTGTGGTTGTTGATGCCTGTAGTCCCAGCTACCCAAGAGGCTGAGGTGGGAGGATCACTTGAGCCTGAGAGGCTGAGGCTGCAGTGAACCATGATCGTGCCACTGCACCCCAGGTTGGGTAACAGAGCCAGACTCTGTCTTAAAAAAAAAAAAAAAAAAAAAAAAAAAAAAAAAGTCTTACTATGTTGCTGAGGCTAGTCTTGAACTCCTGGCCTCAAGTGATCTAACTCTCTCGGCCTCCCAAAGTGCAGGGATTACAGGTGTGAACCACCGTGCCCAGCAGGTGTGCTAATGTGAGGGGCCAGGCCGAATGGCAGCACTGGGGAAAGGAGAGGGCAGCGGGGGGAGTAAGATTGGAAGGAGGTTTGCTTAAGGACCCCACAATCAGGCCAGCTGAGAAGCAGCACCTCCCTCGGTTTCTGAGTTATCTGTGGGTGTGTCTTATCATCCACAGTGCACTTGGAACTGGGCCACGGGAGGTGGTCCTCCATGCTGCCTTTTATCATTTCTCTCCGCTTCCTGTTTTGTAGTGCCGGCCTGATTGGCTTCCTCTTCATGCTGAGGGCCCTGGTAGCTGCAAACTTCAACACTGTCTACATTTACACAGCTGAGGTGAGTTTTCATGCAGGGCTTCCTTACAACAGGGTATCTAAGGTGAGCTACTTAGGGTGTCCATCCAAAGGTAATGCATCCCTGGTTTCTGTTGACTTTTGATGATTTTCTAAAAACAATCTGTTAAAAAGACACCAGAAGTTTATTTGGTGTGAATTTCCCCTTCCCCGTTCAGTCTATTGAAAGCCAATCTCTGGAAGACAGGATCTTCCTCCTTTCTTTAAATAGCTTGCATGGAAAAACCACCTCCTTGCCCTGGCACTAGGCTTCCAGAAGTAATAGGTAGCAACACGTTGCTGTCAAATGTAGAATTTCCTTTCTCTCTTTTTGAAATTAGAATGCATTTTTCACTTTTATTCTTTTGGAAGATCCTTTTCCCTCCATCTGTTATTTGCTGCATGTAGCTTACATTTGAATATAATCTTGATTTATTCTGTATTAATTTATTGAATTAATACATCTATGTGCAAGGTACTGCCCAAGGTGGCTGGAGTTTTCCTCATAAACCTCCCACTTTAAAGAACCTATATTCCTAGAAATGAAACAATATTTGAATAGGGAACTTAACAGTATTTTAACTGGTTTTGTCATTCATTGAGCTACAGGAAACAGTGCTTTAGACACTGATACAGCTGCCTTCAGCTTCATGGCAGGAAATGGGGAAGTCTATTGCGATGAAAGATTTGGCATGTCAAAAACCATTAAACCCGCAGAGAAAAGTACTTTTTCTCCCACGCAGAGATAAAAATAGAAAGCTATGAGATGTTCGAGTTATACATAATACTTCATTTAGTTCTATGAACAAAATCTAAAGTTGGCTTATAGACAGGTACAAAAAAATCAATCCTCTTTTGCAATCCGGAACTCATTGTTCAGTATAAGTTTTACCACAAGTAAGAAGGGGTATTATGATACCTGAGACACTTTTAAATGATTGGAGTATTGATAACCATAAAGGTTGGTTCCAGGCTGGGCGCAGTGGCTCATGCCTGCAATCCCTGAATTTGGGAGGCTGAGGTGGGATAATCACTTGAAGCCAGAAGTTCAAGACCAGCCTGGCAAGGAAACTAAAACCCCATCTCCACAAAAATTAAAAAGTAGCCACGGGTAGGGGCATGCACCTGTAATTGTAGCTACTTAGGAAAGGGAGGCTGAGGCAGGAGGATTGCTTGAGCCCAGGAGTTGGAGGCTGCAGTGAGTTCTGATAGCACCACTGTACTCCAGCCTGGGCAGCAAAGTTAGACCCTGCCTCTAAATTAAAAAAAAAAAAAAAAAAAAAGTTTGGTTCTAGGACTATCAAATAGAGAGTTTAAAAGCATAATATATGAGGAAAATCTCAGCTATATCCATTTTGTATTCCAATTTCATGTTGACTTGATATATCAAGATGACTTTTTGTTTTAAAGGCTTTTATCTTGAGAACGTGATGTCTGGGGTTGAAGGTATTGACATATTCCACAGGTCTGTACTCTTCTTGAGCTGTGATAGCTTAGGAATGAATATGATTTGAACTCACGCATATTCACAGAGGGCATCAAATGGAGAACGAGGCAGATCCACCTACTCCAAAAATGACCCTACAGTAAATTGGTTGACGAAATTAGATCCCAAAGAGTTTTGGTGAATTTTGAAGTCTTCATCAGTATATCCATATTAAAAGGAGATGAAAGAAGCCAAAATAAAAGAATTATGGGCTGACAGGACAACTGGATTAAGTATCAGTTCTATTAAAAAGGGCTAACTTGAAGATCTTTTGACGATAAGTTTTACTCCAGCTCTGTAGTGGAACAAAGGTGAACTTGATGGACAGTGGAAGGAATTGCAACATGAAATTCCTAGAATAAAAATTAATTGGCTGGGTGTGGTGGCTCACGCCTATAATCCCAGCACTTTAGGAGGCTGAAACAGGTGGATCACTTGACATCAGGAGTTTGAGACCAGCTTGGCCAATGTGGTGAAACCCCATCTCTATTAAAAATGCAAAAATTATCCAGGCATGGTGGCGGGTGCCTGTAATCCCAGCTACTTGGGTGGCTGAGGCAGGAGAATTGTGTGAACCTGGGAGGCAAAGGTTGCAGTGAGTCGAAATCACACCACTGCACTCCAGCCTGGTGACAGACTCAGTCTCAAAAAGAAAAAAAAAAAAATTATTGACTTTATGTAATTTTGCATAGTTAAAATAAGTTTGCATATTTAAAAACAAAAACAAATCTATTTTGTAAATTTATAAACCAAAAAACTATGAGTAACATGGTGTACTTCTAGAATTGCGTTTGAGATGGACAGTCAAACATATTTTGGAATTTGCTCATTTTGAGGGTCATTTCTAAGTATTTTATTTATTATTTATTTATTTATTTATTTATTTATTTATTTATTTGAGACCGAGTCTCGCTCTGTTGCCCAGGCTGGAGTGCAGTGGTGCGATCTCGGCTCACTGCAAGCTCCACATCCCAGGTTCACACCATTCTCCTGCTGCAGCCTCCCGAGTAGCTGGGACTACAGGCGCCCACCACCACACCTGGCTAATTTTTTGTATTTTCAGTAGAGACAGGGTTTCACTGTGTTAGCCAGGATGGTCTTTCTTGATCTCCTGACCTCATTATCCACCCGCCTCGGCCTCCCAAAGTGCTGGGATTACAGGCGTGAGCCACCACACACGGTCAGTATTTTATTTTTTATATTGTTTTTCAAAAAAGATGTATAACTAAAAATGATAGTTTTCTGTTATTCCATCTTCCAGGTGACTCACAATGTGAACAAAAGACTTTGTCAGTATTACAGCAAAGAAGCCATCACCTGAATTCATTATTTTCAGTCATAGCAACCTCATTTTTCAGAAAATAAGAAAGCTCCGCATAAAGATATTCCACCCCCAGACCTTCTCCTGTAAATATAGCAGTGTCCTGTGAGGCGGAAAGCATCTTGCTTTTTGCATTTGACAGATGGTGGCAAAGATGTGGGCAACTAAAGGGGGCTACATGCTTTGCCTTAGAGAGTTGATAAACCTGTTTTGTCAGTATTTTATAGCACTAAGAACATGTTCCAACATTTTGAGAAACCATTCTTTCCTAGAAAGTATTCTCCCTACAATTCTATTTATTCAATAAGACTTGCTGACTTATTAAACTTCTAGTTCCTTTAAGAATTCTGAATCAATGAAAAACCAATTAGATTTTACTATAAATATGAACAAGTTGCAGCAAGAAAGTAGAATATGGCTGGGCATGGAGGCTCATACCTGTAATCCCAGCACTTTGGGAGGCTGAGGCAGGAAGATCGCTGGAGCCCAGGAGTTTGATACCAGTCTGGGCAACATAGCGAGACATTGTCTCTATAAAATAAAAATGTAATAAAATGTTAAAAAGGGCTGGACATGGTGGCTCACACCTGTAATGCTAACCCTTTGGGAGGCTGAGGCTGGCAGATCACCTAAGGTCAGGAGTTCAAGACCAGCCTGGCCAACATGGAGAGACCCCCTCCCGACCAACTAAAAATACAAAAATTACCCAGGCACAGTGGTGCACGCCTGTAATCCCAGCTACTTGGGAGGCTGAGGCAGGTGAATCGCTTGAACCCAGAAGGTGGATGTTGCAGTGAGCCAAAATTGCACCATTGTGCTCCAGCCTGGGTGACAGAGTGATGAGACTCTGGAGGGAGGGAAGGAGGGAGGGAAGAGAGGAAGGGAGGGAGGAAGGAAGGAGGGAGGGAGGGAGGGAGGGAAATGCTGTAAGATTCTGCAACAGCAAAGAGGCTAGGGAATTTAGCAAGAATACGGGGCCAGGTGCGGTGGCTCATGCCTCTAATCCCAGCACTTTGGGAGGTTGAGGTGGGAGGATTGCTGAGTCCGGATATTCAAGACCAGTGCGGCCAACATAGTAAGATCCCATCTCTAATTTTAAAAAAGAAAAGAAGTAAAAATAAGAGCACAGGGAATGGTGTGGCAAGTACCTGGCCCTCTGGTTAATTCTCTTAGCTGTATTTGTATTGAAGACTTCATCGGATCTCTGAGGAGTATTTTCTTCCCATTCAGTAGAATCACTTTTATATATTTATAGTTCTGAAGTGGCGCTCTTCTGTCTGATTCCAGAGCATGTCTTTCTAAAATTATATTTGGAATATTCAGTGAAACACATTTTTGGAATTTGCTCATTTAAAGGATAATTTTGAAGTCTTTATTTTTTGCTGATATTGTCCCAAAAATTCAAAGTTGTGTACCTGAGAAAATGAACACCTTCCGCTCCATATTCTGTAACTGTATTTGGTACTGGATGCATTCCAAAGCCTGACCTGGGGAGGAAAGGGGAAGAGGAGGGCTCGGGGAAGGACGGACATTATCTGACTGGTACTTTCTATGCCTCTCCCTGCAGGTCTACCCCACCACTATGCGTGCTTTGGGGATGGGAATCAGCGGCTCCCTGTGTCGCATTGGTGCAATGGTGGCGCCATTTATATCCCAGGTACGGCTGAGGACTCTGCAGTGGGAGAGAGTCTGAGAGGGGTGGGGAAAGAGGAACGCCAGGGCCCTTCAGATTAAGGGCAGAACGGAGGATTTCTGTGGACTTCATGAGTTTTTCCGAGGTGCCATTTCCCTGCTGTTTGGTGGATTTAGGTAGAAAGAGGCTAAATCTGCTACCAGGCTTTCAGGCTTCCAGTCAGTAGTATGCATTGCATTGCATTCAGGGTTTGCTCCATTTTAAAATGGGGGGAAGATGGAAAACAATGGTCAACACGAGGAGCGTGATCTCGGCTCACTGCAACCTCCGCCTCCCAGGTTCAAGCAGTTCTCCTGCCTCAGCCCTCCGAGTAGCTGGGATTACAGGCACCTGCCACCATGCCTGACTAATTTTTGTATTTTTAGTAGAGACGGAGTTTTACCGTGTTAGCCAGGATGGTCTTGATCTCCTGACCCTGTGATCCGCCCATCTCGGCCTCCCAGAGTGCTGGGATTACAGGCGTGAGCCACTGTGCCCAGCCTTGTGATCTCTTTTTTTAAGGACGCTAATTCCATTCATGAGTGCTCCACCATCATGACCTGATCACCCCCAAAGGTCCCACATCCAAATGTGATACCATCATATTGAGGATTCCACCTATGAATTTTGGAGGGACAAAAGCATCCAGTACCTAACACCAGGCATCCCTTGGTTCAGTGATGTGTGAACTGCTGGAACCCACTGCGAATGGTTAAGGTCCTTTCAGCACATCCATGGCTTTGGGCTTCACCCGAGGCTTGCAGCACAGGCCCTTACAGCCCCACGGTGTGTGGCTGTGATTTGGGTAATGCAACCAAGACCTTTCCCTTGTGGCCAGACTTCACATGGTGTTTTCATCAAATGAGATGGGTCAACATGCAAAAAAGGCATTGAAAAGCATTTAAAGTCTCTATAAAAGCTCCTCAAAGAGATGTCAGTGGAAAACCCCGTTTGTGACTCTAGCAAAACTTTTAAGCAGCCTCTTTGCCTGACTCACTTCCATTGTTGTCAGCCGCATAGCTGTCATCCCCAGGTCTCCAGCCTCGTCCCTTCAACCTTATCACCCCTTCGAAGTTCAAATGCCAGCCGGGCGTGGTGACCCAGGCCTGTAATCGTAACACTTTGGGAGGCTGAGGTGAGTGGATCACTTGAGATCAGGAGTTCAAGACCAGCCTGGCCAATATGGTGAAACCCCATGTCTACTAAAAACACAACAATTAGCCGGGTATGGTGGCACACGCCTGCAATCCCAGCTACTCAGGAGGCTGAGGTGGGAGAATCACTTGAACCCAGGAGGCAGAGGTTGCAGTGAGCTGAGATCACGCCATTGCACTCCAGCCTGGGCAACAGAGTGAGACTCGGTCTCTCAAAAAAAAAAAAAAATTGAAATGCTGCCAAAATTCAGCAGAACTAGCTTTTTTTCTAGCCTCCTACAAACTCCGATATATTTGCTTGTCTTCTCTGCTTTTTCTAGCTGAAATCATTCAGCCTTTCAGGTTTCAGAAGAAAGCAAAGTAGACAAACAGAGACTCTGTTAGGAGGAAGGAGAATTCCTTAACTCAGAGTCCTATTTTGGTTCAACAAGTTCTTTCTGGAATAATTCTCTACAAGTTTTAGAGGACTTTTTTTTTTTTTTTTTAAGATAGAATCTCACTCTGTCACCCAGGCTGGAGTGTGGTGGCGCGATCTCGGCTCACTGCAAGCTCCACTTCCTGGGTTCACGCCATTCTCCTGCCTCAGCCTCTCGAGTGGCTGGGACTACAGGCGCCCGCCACCACGCCTGGCTAACTTTTTGTATGTTTAGTAGAGACGGGGTTTCACCGTGTTAGCCAGGATGGTCTCGATCTCCTGACCTCGTGATCCGCCCGTCTCGGCCTCCCAAAGTGCTGGGATTACAGGTATGAGCCACCTCGCCTGGCCGAGGGCTTCTTATGTAGTTTGGCAGTTAGAGCACCAAAAGAGACTCAATTAGCTACAGTCTATTTGTTAGCATAGAATCAAGAATTATTTCATCCCAACTGAATGTTCAACACATTTATTGAGCTTGGCCTCTGTGCCTGCTATTGTTCTAGTTCTATTGATTTGCAGTAATCAATAAGTCAGATGAGGTGCCAGTGGTGTGCTGGAGCTGGCCTGGGCTGGCTTTTGAAAGCTGATGGTTCAATTTTCAGGAAAAATTGCGAACTGGTTAATGTCACATTGTTTGAAATTAGTCATGGTGGTAGTGTGTACACTGTGGAAATGGACAAATGATGTAAGTCAGGGCCTTGGGTTTTTTGAGAACCTGTTGTTGAACATTTGACAGCACACCACCACAAGGTTCCCGCCCTCAAGAGACTTACGTTCAAGTTGGGTACTTTTATCAATAAGCAATTAATGTAAAATAATTCCAGATTGTGATTAGGCTTTGGAGGTAATGTGGTAATGAGTAAAAGGGGTGACAGGCTTTTTTAGGCAGTCCTCTCTGGGAAGGTGATATTGGAGTTGAGATCTAAAGTGTGAGAAGCTGACTGCTGTGTACAGGGAAATGCATTTCGAGTAGAAAGACTGTTGGTTTGAGGGCCTCCAGGTGGGATGGACATCAATGTGTTCTAGAAATAGAAAATAGCCTTGGCGAGCCAAATGGAGAGAAATGCAGGGACAGAATGTGCCTTCCAGGCATATTAAGGACTTTAGATTTTTACCTTAGGAGCAGTGGGGAAAATTTTAAGGGTTTTAAGCAAATGAGGGATACGATCAGTTTTGTTTTTTAAAAAGATCACTCTGGCCTGTCGCGGTGGCTCATGCCTGTAATCCCAGCACTTTGGGAGGGCGAGGTGGGCGGATCACCTGAAGTCAGGAGTTCAAGACCAGCCTGGCCAACATGGTGAAACCCCATCTCTACTAAAAATACAAAAATTAGCTAGGCGTGGTGGCATGCGTCTGTAGTCCCAGCTACTTGGGAGGCTGAGGCAGGAGAATTGCTGGAACCCTGGAGATGGAGGTTGCAGTGAGCCAAGATCGTGCTGCTGCACTCCAGCCTGGCTGACAGAGTAAGACTCTGTCTCAAAAAAATAAAAAGATAATAAAAAGATCACTCTGGTTGCTTGCAGGGAGTAAATTGGAGGAGGGAAAGGGTAGAGCAATCTTATAAGACAACTCTCAGTTCACATTGCCATGTATTATTGCCATGAAAGAAGAGATTTCAGACTTTTGGAAAATCCTTTCTATTATGCTATAAAGATATAGGAAAAGATGGTAAACCTGACTGCGTAAAAAATTTACATTTCTGGCTGATTGTGGTGGCTCATGCCTGTAATCCCAGCACTTTGGGAGGCCGAGGCTGGTTGATCATCTGAGGTCAGGAGTTCGAGACCAGCCTGGCCAACATGGTGAAACCCCATCTTTTTTTCTTCCATCCTGAAAACATAAAAACCTACAAAGTAGACTTGAAACTTTACTAATATCTCACCATTTAATGATAACAAATATAAATATTTTAATCAGGCTTTTAAAATATATTTTCCTATGTATGTGTGTATAAATATGCATATGCATTATTAGTGATGTAGATTCAAATGAAAAAAAAGAGTATAAATTTCACCCAAATATCATAGTACTTTTTATAGCCTGCTCTTTTGCTCTCTCTCTCTCTTTTTTTTTAATATATGGACAGAGGAGAGGGAGGGGAGAAAGAAAAGAAAAGGAAGGAAGGAAAGGGAAGAAAAAGACATTTTGTTCATATGTTGTAGACATTTTTCATGTCCATAAATATAAAAAATAAGCATTAAACTGAAAAATATTTCATCGTATGTATATCCCAAAAGTTTCTTTTCAGTTAGTTCTGTATTATTGAACATCTCGACTATTTCAGAAATATTTTAATATAAACCACAATAATAAGGCTAGGCATGGTAGCTCACATCTGTAATCCCAGCATTTTGGGAGGCCGAGGCAGGCAGATCATTTGAGGTCAGGAGTTAGAGACCAGCCTGGCCAACATGGCAAAACCCTGTCTCTACTAAACAAACAAAAATTACCTGAGTGTGGTGGTGGGCGCCTGTAATCCCAGTTACTCTGGAGGCTGAAGCAAGAGAATCGCTTGAAACTGGGAGGTGGAGGTTGCAGTGAGCTGAGATCATGCCACTGCATTCCATCCTGGGCAACAGAACGAGACTCTATCCTTCTCCCCACAACCACCCCCCAAAAACAAACAAACAAAAAAACAAAAAACAGTAATGAGCATGCTTGTGCTTGCTTTTTTTTTTTTTTTGAGACAGGGTCTCACTCTGTTGCCCAGGCTGGCAAGCAGTGGTGCAATCACAGCTTACTGCCACCTCGACTTCCTGGGCTCACGTGATCCTCCTATCTCAGCTTCCTGAGTAGCTGGGACTACAGGTGCTCACCACCACACCTTGCTATTTTTTTTTTTTTTTTGGTAGAAATAGTGTCTTGCCATGTTGCCCAGGTTGGAGGCTGGGCTTGAACTCCTGGGCTCAAGCAGTCCTCCCACTTTGGCTCCCAAAGTGCTGGGATTACAGGCGTGAGCCATCGGGCCCAGCTGTGCTTACATTTGTATCCAATTATGCAATTATCTCCTTAGGGTGAATCCCTAGAAATTGGATCGGTAGGTGAAGGGGTCTGCTCGCTTTCATTTTGGTACATTGTGCTCAAGTCCTCCCGGGCGAGTTGTACCAGTGCCTGAGAGCCTTGCTGCTTCACATATCTGCCACAGATGTTAGTCTTTCATCTTTGCCAATCTCACTGGCAATAAATGATACCTCTTGATTATTGTAATTAGTGTTTCTTTTATTAGGAATGGTACTGAATGTTCTTATTCATATTTTAATTGGGCAATTTATCTTTTTTTTAGCTTGCCCACTCAGGTACTTGCCCATTTTTCAATTCAGTCTTTAAAACATGAATCTGTAAGAGCCTCTGATAAATGTGTATGTATATAAATGTGTGTGCAGGTGGGTGTGTCTATAAAGGATTTTTAACAATTT